TGCTGCAGCCTGGCGGGCCGGGGGCTGGCGCCGGCTCCCTCGCAGGGGAGCTGCTGCGGGCTGAGCCCTGCCCGGCTCGCCGTGTCCGTGACCTGCACCGGGGCCCTCCGCTGTTCCTCGGAGCGGGGGACCTCGGGCTACTCAGCGGCGGCTGGGCTGCTTTTTCCCGTTCACAGCTTTTTCTCTTGTTCTAACCCGTTTTAATTTGCTCCCCAAACCATTCAATAAAAACCCTTATTTGAACACGAACCAAAAATGAAGAGGTAGACAGAATGATAATCTATTATACAGTGCCTTTTGTCCCGATTTAGAAGCGATTTAGAAGCCGAGCGCCTCCCTGTTTGTTTATTACACGTTAAGGGCGACACTTTCACATCATTAATATATATAAAAGCAGCTTGCTAGTTTTAACTTTACCAATATTCGCACCCCAAAATGTACACAACCCCCTTTACTCTGCCAAAATTTAAACAGCAGATGCTTTGCTAAAAGCTAAATGCTGTGTGGCGTAGCCAGAGCCTTACAAAAGACTTCATTACTGTTACAAAACATTTGCTACTCCATGGAAAAAATTAATAGCCATTAAGGTTGTATAATGAAACCTTTCCAACACGGAAGGTACAAAAGTGAAGGTAATGAACAATTACATAAAGATTACAAAGGTGGCCTGAAATGTCTAGAAACTGCTTAAGATTCCCAATCGCTAATTGAGTTTGTTTAGACTTAAAAACCAACAACAAAAGACACTAGATAAGTCAGTACAGTAGAACCTCAGCGTAATGAGCACCAGAGTTAGGAACTGATCTAACCACCCATCTCATTTGGAACGGAAGTACAAATCAGACAGCAGCGGAGAAAAGAGGGGGGAAAAGGCAAATACTGTGTAGTACTGTGTTAAAGGTAAACTAACAAAAAAGGGAAAGTTTAAAAAAAGATTTGACAAGGTAAGGAAACGATTTCTGTGCCTTTTTCATTTAAATTAAGATGGTTAACAGCAGCATTTTTCTTCTGCATAATCAAGTTTCAAAGCTGTATTAGGTCAATGTTCATTTGTCCTCTTTTGAAAGAACAACCATAACGTTTAATTCAGAGTTAGGAACAACCTCCATTCTCCAGGTGTTCCTAACTCTGAGGTTCTACTCGTTCTTTTACTTACTTGCTAATATCGGAGTTCTGAGCTCTGTGTTCTCTCACAAGAGTTAGACACACCATTTGCAGCAGAAGGTATGCAGCTGCTCTATCTGTATTTGGTGTTGGGGAAGCAGCTAATTGCTGCAATGAAATACAAAATCCTAAATGCCTGAACTTGGCTTAGTAGATGGCTAGCCTTTTTGTTCACCTTTTATTATAGTCAAGAATTGTGCCAAGTTAGTGAGAACTTTTAATTGCCTTATTTGAGAGGTCACATTTTTCACCAATGCTGCTCTCAAAATTAGATGTTCAAGAAGTAAGATTACTATAGTTCTAGAACCATTAAATAATGACCTAGGAGGTGAAAGGCTGCTGCCTCTCATTATCCAGCCTCTGAACTGTGCAATCCTCCACTAGCTCTTTTCCTAACACACAATATACTTTAAACTGCAATTTTTCATATTTGAAAAAAAAAACAACTCTACTTAACTAGCATTTCAAACAAAGCTCAGATAATCCTCCTCTGAGGCATTCTGATGTGGCAGTTCTGGTCTCAACCAGCAATGAAAACATGGCTCTGAAAAACAGACAAATCTGTTTTTACTATATTATACTATATTACAGTGCAGCTACCAGTCAGAGCCAGAAGTCCCATGTACCTTAGAAACAAAAGTTTCCTTTTGATACAATTAAATATTTGAGGGGTATTGTATCAGGTTTATTAAAATTAGTATTATACAACTCAAACTGGATACCATCAGATTAGGTCTGAATAAAGACTGGGAGTGGTTGGGTCATTACAAAGCCTAAACCTAATTTCCCCAATACTAATTTCTCCCTACTATTTCTCACACCTTCTTGTCAACTGTTTGTAATGGGCCACTCATTACCACTTCAAAAGTTATTTTTCCTCCCTTGGTATCCTGCTGTTAATTGATTTATCTCATTAGATGGACCTCAAACTTGGTAAGGCAACCCCCATCCTTTCATGTAATTTATGCCTGTTCCTATATTTTCCACTTCATGCATCTGATGAAGTGGGTTCTAGCCCACAAAAGCTTATGCCCAAATAAATTTGTTAGTCTCTAATGTGCCACAAGGATGCCTTGTTGTTTTTACAACTCAATATATAGTCTTCCTATATGTCAATCAGATTCCAGATGATTAGGAATATTAATGAGTACAATCTATATAGTTCATTATCCAAACTATTCTTTCCCACATAAATAATATCAGGGCAACATAATCCAGTTTCAGCAAATCGGGGCTTTCAAATCAGATGTTTGGATAAATGAGGTTCTACTGTAAGTGAGATTTTGCCTTGTGCAGTTAAGATGATCTGTGGCCACCAGGAACCAGTTTCTAGGGCCAGATTTTAAAAGGTGTTTAGGCACCTCAAGGTGCAGATAGGTACCTGTAGGAGTTACATGTCAAAATTCTGCATCGTTAGGCACCTAACTTCCTTAAAAAATTTGGTCCTAAATCAATTAAAACAGCTTAGCTTTTATTTCAGCTTTCCCCAGGTAGGGTGTGAAGCCTGAGATGGCAGATGTTGGGTGAGTCAGTTTTAATGGCTTGAAACTTCAAAATCCTTTTATTGCTAAAGTAACTAACTTTATTTATAAATAAGTTTAATGTAAAATCAACCTGAACTGTAGAAATCCAAAACACACAATGCTTGAGAACAAAGAGGAAGCTGGCAGAATAGGCATCTTCAAACTGTGGCCTGCATTAGATCCAATAGTGACATAGGACAAGACTGTACCCAGACCCTGCCTGGCTGCAAGGAGCCACTTCTATCGTCTGCAGTGTCAGTGATGTCGGTGTCAGTCCTTGTACCTTTAGACTGAGATTTTGTGAGCTACCTGAAAAATTTAGACACCCAATTTCTCTTAATGAAAATCCCTAGGTAGTGTTGAACATCTCAGCTTTGAAGTGGAAAGACTTTATAGAGCTGGTGTCACTATCTTCTCCAGCGGGGATAGGGAGAAGAGCCATGGTCCCACCCTGGTCAGCACAAGCGGCCAGGGACAGTGGGTACTACACCTTCCTCAGGGGTGCCACACCAGCTATGCCCCTCCAGTGCTCCTTAGCCTCAGGGAAGCATTATTGCTACTGCAGGTACAGTGCTTTCCAGAGCTCTTGCCAGGGTGGCTGGATATCTACACTTCCCTTATCAAGAAGCTATGTCTACATGCCACGATCTAGTTCAGAGACTCTTCCAATTCATACAGCCAGCATGTCAAAGACAGCTACTGGGAAGAGCTTCTATGTAAAAAAAAAAAAAAAAAAAAAAAAAAAAGCTGGAGCTGATCCCTTCTTGGGCAGATTAAATTAAAATTTCAGTGAAACTCCCTGGAAGGGGAAGATTAAACTGTTTAATTTAAACTAAATGTTCAATCAAGCATATGGAAGACTCCAAACAGACACCATAACAATGTTGCAGGGAAGGTAATTATCCTAGCATAAGTGTGTGTATATGGAAGTGGTGATGGAGGATCTCAGGTGAAAATTCCTACCTTAGTTCTTAAATTGGAATTCTTTGGAGAAAATTTGCTCAACCTGTGGAAGTCTGTCATATCCATCAGTTTAAGGAACAGCTTTCATAAGTCCTGACTAACCCTCCTTCGCTGGAAATTGGTGTGTGCAAAAGCAAGGAGGATTTATGAGAGAGGAACATGGAAGAACCCCTCCAAAAATGATTTTTTAATATTTGATTATATTAGTCTTCTACACAATAGTTAAATGCTTTTAAATGAATTCAGTTGTACTGCTACAAGGTTCTTTTCTCTATATACGTAACAGTTTGTGCAAACAAGCATGGCTATGTTTACATAAATGAACACAAAAATTAATGCAAAGGTCATCTCAAAAAAAGTTTATTAGCATGATTAAAAAGATGTGTTGAAGAATGACAGTCAGAGATAAAATAACTTCTTAACATGGAAGAATATCCATTCCAACTCTATATTCAACAATGTTCTGAACTGAATGGACAGCTGTATTGCCAATTTTCACTTGATATCTTAAAGAACAATCCATACTGTGTATCGGTTCATGTATCATCATAACTACTGCTTTTGTCTGGTTATGATCCCTACTGCAGTTAAGTATAAAAAATATCTTCCATTAATGTTGGAATGCAGACTGCATTGTTGGGCTAAGAGTTGGTAAAAATTCTCAACTGAAGAGTCTGTTTTAAAAAAACTGTCCTTTTTAAAGATACTACAAAGAAATACATTAGTATTTTGGCCTTTAAAATTCTTACATGATATTTATTTAGAATGGCAATCCCAAAATTCCCTCCCATTAAGTAATCATAAATCAGACACCTCTATCAGAGGCTGCTTCTTGGGTTTGACTCTGGAGACTTCTACTTCGTATACGCTTACATGGGCTTGAGGACGAAGACAGCATCATCTAATACATAGTAGTCATTATACATATCACCTTCACATAAGTATGGCAGTCTGGTGAAAGCCTCTATGGCAAAACCAGCTTTTCTGAAAACTTCTGGCAGGCTATTCACCTGTTCTTCCCAAGTCTGCCCCTTGATTTCCAAAACTTCTGAGGGTTTTTCCCACTTGCCACCTACTGAGAAAACAAAACAATTGTATTTAAATTTTAAAAGGATCCTTTTCAATGTATGGCAGTCTCTTAAAGAAAGCATGCTATGCTGCTTACATTCCATTTCGGACTTTATGATCCATATTACCCAACACATGGTGGGTAGAGCATTTTCCAGGTCTACCTGAAGACCACAATATTCAGGGGTCTTGTTTGAGTATAGAGAGGGTTGCCACCCACAAAGCTCAGATTTTTTTAAATCCTCTACTAATAGTTCTATGTGCAGGCCCACTTGACCAAATAACTATTTGACTAACAATAGTAAGATCATCTAGTGAAACTCAAATTTGGCAGATGTAGTCTGAGAAACTCTAAAATCTTGGCTAACATTAAAATGCCTTCTCATACTTATCTGTCATACTTCCGTGCTGGAACTGGCTTCAATTAGTTATAATAAATAAAGCCAGACGCTAACAACCATAATTTGTTATGAATTCTTCAGGAATACTGTGGTCATACTACTAGCTAAAAACCAAAATCAATCCCTTAGCCCCTCCCCCCAAAAATCCACCTCAAGAGACTCCACACCAAACTAGGAAAGAAATCCTAAGTGGGTCCTGTGGAACAGCATCTACAGAACTTCTGTTCATTCAAGGGCCATTTTGATAAGTGAGAAGAGAAGGATTATTTGTTTAGGGTCCTCTCAAAGAAGAAATGGAGTTCTGGATAATTTTATATAATAAAAAATAAAGTTGTCATTTGTTATAGCCAATGAAATCATCAGAAGCAATCGAGCAATGTAGTAGTTTTAAAATTAAAAAAAAAAAAACAACTCGCTGTCAAAAAAAATAGATTTTTACCAATCCCATCTAACTGAAAAATGTAATTGATTATGTTTTAAATACATACTGTATCTTTAAGAAATTTACTGAACACAATGTTTAATTCCTGTAAATATATGCAAGTAGGAAGTGTCTGAGCATGAAATTTAGAGCATTATGTAACTCCTAAAGTTTCCTAATTAACTTCCTCTTTTTTTGAGCAGAAACATTTCTGGACAAACACACAAAGAAATGGCAACTTTCAATAAATGCAAAGTCGTGCTACTGTTGGAATTCAACTGGATTCTATACTATGTTGGTAAGACTTTTTTTTCCCCCCCAATTTACTGTCTTCTTCACCTGTTTTAAAAGATTCATATGTATTTCTTACAAATAAGATTGAAAATGCAGTGTTCTCATTTGGAACAAGTCTGTAAGATAAGAGGGGCAGGAAAAAATTCTGCTTTGGAGTTAGCTAATTTCTGCTGTCTTCATAAAGTTTCCTAATCAAATGAATATTAATGAAAGATTGTTCTTCCAAAGGATTATACAAAATGCCCTCATAACCTATGACCATCAGTCCAAATCCTCTGCCTCTTGTATAGCAGACCCCAGATGCAGCAAAATGGCTGCAGGTATGCTCTACGGAGTTGGTAAGAGGAAGTTTCTGGGAATCCAGCACATGGTGTCTGCATCAGCTGCAAGTCACAGAGTTCTGCTCCATAGGGGCATCCTCCAACCCAGTGAACAGTGGGCTTAGGGCAGGGACAGAGAGATTAGCTACTTGGTGGATATACTGTACCAGCCAATCAGTACCTTTCACAGAGTGGGAGTGCAGCAGCTGCTAGGGCTACTGCAGCCTCAAGGAAACAGTTGTGACCATGGGGTGGCTCTGCTGCTGCTTTGTGGCACAGAAAAAAAAGAAAGAGAATGCCCTCTCTCTGTTCCTGTGGAACCCCTATGAACTCAACCTGCCTGCATTTGGTCCACCAGGAGCTCGGACAGTACAAAGATGAAGAGTCACACAAGTATCCAGACTAGGGTGACCAGACAGCAAGTGTGAAAAAATCAGGACCGGGGGTGGGGAGTAATAGGCCCCTATATAAGAAAAAGCCCCAAATATTGGGACTGTCCCTATAAAATCAGGACATCTGGTTACCCTAATCCAGACAATATTAAGTAGTAACATTCTATGCTACCCTAACTTTACATTTTTATTGTATTGATTACATACAATACATAATTTGTAATAATCCAAATCTGATCAAAGATGAGTCCACTTCAACTTATTTTTTGTTTTGTAATTTGTTTGCTAAATACTTTCTTGAAAGTAAAACAAAATAAAAAATGTTGGTTTAGCAATCTCTCATTTCTAGAGTCTCCATTCCAATTATCTAAATTTTAGGTATTTAACCATTACTTTGATATAATTATTTTGTCATATTTAAGTTTATTAAAGTTATTTATTTCTATAAGGTCTTGGTAAAAAAATGCATTTGTCATAACAGTTATAGTAAACAAAACTTGTAATTTGCTGGTGATTCAGTTCCTTAATTGAAGTTCTCTTTCGTGTTTAACCTTCCCTTGCCTTCTTTTTTCTGTATATTGCTTAATTTTAAAATGTCAGTATCAGCAAGTGGCACTGCTGACGTGTGAAACCCATGATCAGTTAGCAATCACATTCATATTTTCCTATGTATATGAAAAATAATGAATAAAGTTCAAATAGTATTTAGCCCATGAGGCAATCTTCTAAGAAGAAACTTAATGAAAACAACCGAAAGAGGTCCCACGGTGGAAATATCACCGCTTTCTCTCTCTTCCCCCCTTTCTAAATTCAAGGTCACATATTTAATTTGCAACATCCCTTACTCTTAAATCCTCTCTCAATCAAGTATGTGTTTATTCTCAACAGGTCATGTTGTAGATACCTGCAAAGTTACCGTAAAACAACACCAATTTAAGGAAGTAGACGACAGTGTCAGCACTGTGAATGTAACATGCAGTTTCTCTGCTTCCGGATGTCATGGCTCCCCTCAAATGCTATGGTTTCGCTATAATGATTTTACACATGAGGCTTTGTGTACACCTCAATGCATAGAGAAGTTCCAAGTGATTGAATCACTGTCCGATCATAATGTTTTACTTCAGATCAACAAACTGACTGTAAATGACAGTGCCATTTATATCTGTGGAATAGCATTTTCAGATTCAGATACACACACATCCAAGCAAACCGGGGGAGGAACGATATTGGTGAAAAGAGGTCAGTCACTACTTCCTATGAACAATCGTAAAAAAATACATTATTTTGTTTTCTACATATTTCTAATTATTTACACTTGCAAAATATGGTACGTTAATAGTAAAATCAACAAGGTTTCCAGTAATCTATCAATTTGAACAGCAAATAAGACCCAATGTCATACTCTGGGTATGTGTGTTAAAGTCAAACTGACATGAACTGGAGTTCCAGGTGCAGAATTAAGATCAACTAGGGAGATACTTTGTTAACAAAGCTAAAAATCAGCAACTTTGTATGGTTTACTAACCAGATGCTGTACTATCATGTAATGCAAGTGACCCTTCAGAGATGTTCTATAGTAATCCAGGAGATTGGATGCTGTATTTTCCTTTTTGTTAACTGTCAAAACTGAACATACAAATACTCCATGTCAAGCTTCATGGAGGGTTTTGGGACTGGCACACAATAAATCATACACCAACAGTAATAGTCACAAACAAGTAAATGGCTTCTGTTGAGAAACTGCCATATTCAGGAGGGACTGTGTCTAGCAGACAGAGCAGGATTCTGGGACTCTGGGCTGATTCTCTGCCACTGATTCATTGTGTGAACTTGAGCAAATCATTTTACTTTGGTGTCTTTAGTATCTCCACCTATGTAACAGGGATAAAGATATTCACAGGGATGAGGAGGCTTAATTAACTAAATTTCTGGTTACATGTGCTTCAATAACAAGCTCTAGAAATATGTACAAAAGTTAAAAAAACCAAAACCCTAACTAATGGACTCTCTCTCCCCAACCGAGTTCCATACTCTCCCTGCATTCACCCCACCACTCACACTGCTAACGTCTGAACAAACACATGAGCCTTCTTCATACTTGTTACTTAAAAGTTAGATTTTAGACCAGAAGAGGGCTATGGTGGGAAGAAAACAAAATCCCAAATCAAGGGCTCTCCAGTCCCCAGCTGTTTGAGTCTAGTGACCCTTATCAAGTGAGTTCCTCAGATGAAAGTGGTTATAATACAAATATTATTCTTACTAAGAATATGATCAAAATAGAACAGGTTCCCATTATTCTAACAATTTTTTATTATGACTAAAGGGTCTGAGAAGTACAGCACTGAAGAATACATCCCCATGATAGTCCTCTCATCTTTGCTGTTTCTATACAGCACTGCCATACTTGCAATCTTTATATTCTATAAGGTGGGTTTAATTTTGACTTTTCTTATTTGGTTGTTTTCATTCTGACTTCTCAATAGCTTTAATGTTTTCCTCAGGATCCAAGGGTCATCATGGATTTTAATTACTTTTGCATCACAGACAGCAAACGAGTTTTACAAAGGTTGTGGTTGATGATTACATCTCATATGCATCTGCAGACTCTCACACATAGATTCAGATTAGATACTCATTACATCTCACACACATCACTTACCGATTTTTTTTTTTTTTTTAGAGAGAGTTTCAAGAGAAAAGCAGCAGAAACCAAACTATCCTTGGAACAATTTACAGCAAGTTTGGTATATATTGCCAGAAGTCACTTTGTAAATGAGACAGACTATCAAAAATACAAAAATATGATAAGATTCAAATATTTTGAAAGAAAAATAGTTATCAAATAAAGAGCATTACTACCAAATACACAGGTTGCAAGCTCCATGGATTAATGTCCATTGATAAACAAATAATGAAATTTATATAACACTAAATGCCAAGTGCAATGAAATTATTTCAGGCAATACTCTTACTTACATAATGAAGTCCTATTCAAAATATTGTAGGATGCATGGAAAAGGGAGTTGGAGGAGGGTTACAGGGCATCCTAAACTTGGAAAAGCTCCCCCAGAACCAGAGAGAGGAGGTTTGCATGTTTAAAATGCACCCAGTTATTGAAGACACTGACATTGGTCTTTATTAAGAAAGTGTGGTGGTTTTTTGTGTGTTTTTGTTTTTAGAACAATCATCAATATTTGGAACCCTTAAATGAACTCGATAAATAATGAGATATCCCTAAATGTTATGAGCAGGCAATACATTTTGCTACAGTACCTCTTCAGTTATTATTTGGCATGGAGGGCTATGTAAATAAAGTTGATTTTTGTTTTGCAGTCAAAATCCAAACTGGTAAAGAAAACCAGGAAAGGAGATGTGAAAGGAGAGCACCATGTATGTTAATATTCACTTAACTTGTCTTGGGTGTCTTTGATTCATAGATTTTTTGTTTTTTAAATATAACCTTGAACACTTCCGGGGACATTAAATTGGCTAACTGAAGGCTCAGACAAAGGGGTTACCTGGGCTGGAAGTTGTAGATGTAAGTGATTAAGGGCTCCAGTGCTGAAGATTTATAGAAAACTATTTGCTGAATTTAGAGTCGGAGTTTAAAGATGAGACGGTCACCAATACCACCTAGCCACTCCCACACCAACCCCAACAACTAGAATTATATCAAAGTATTACATCCTTCAGGAGACTAGGCTGTTATGTGCCACAGGCAGAAAACAGGAGAGACCAAGATGCACCAATGCCCAGGTCCCCTATAATGGCAGGGAACTGATTAAGTAAGATATGCCCAGATGATCTAGCAAGTGACCTCTGCCCCAAGCTTTAAAGTTTCTGTTCATCGGTCCTTTTTGGCTAATTGGACAGTGAGAACTAAGCTAAGGGCCACCTCCAACAGGCAACTTCTTGTCTTAAGTGATGGCTTTTCAGTAACATCGAGATTACAAGTAAACCATGTTTGAACTATAGTTAAAAAGCCAACCTCTGCCATGCAACTGATTTTTCCTGGTCCCTTGGATGGTGGCTTTGGCTTTACATGGGTTCCACCATACTTAAATCCTGTTTAGAATATATACTGCAACACCCTCTTGGAAAAAAAAAAAATCCACAAGTTAAAGAAGGAATTTAACTCGACAGTGAGAAATCATTACTGTTCTACAGCCAGGGCTCCCTTTGGCCACGAAACTTACTGTTTTGAAGTTGTGGTGACACCTTGATTAAATTTTAAAAAGTTAAAAAAAAAAAAGAAATTAGCAAAGATATATCATAGAGGCAGTTGCATTTTTCCAAATCTGTCTCTAATGTAAAATTGTTGTTAACCACATTTTAACCACTGCAGAAAAATACGAGTGGGCGAACAGTTTGTCGAGCAATTGTACAAGAACTGTACAAGAAGAGATATGCTGAAGACCATCATCAGCCTGTGAGTAATGAGTAACATGAAAAGGGGGTTTCCAAAATCTTGTGGCTATTTACTGTAGTTCATTGTATGTGGAAAAAATGGAGAAGCAAATTTCAGAACTATATTACATTTTCTACAGAACTAGACTTCTTCGCTGTCTGAGTGTCAGGATTGGCAAGATTTAGTCCTGAACCAGCAATAGCTTTTCTATACTTACAATGCTAAAAGTTTCAGAAGTCCAATACTGTGCATCCCAGCAGGGTTAAATTGGGATCTACATACTGTTGCGGAGTGGAGATACCCCTCTTTCCAAAGGGATTTTGAACTCATTTTATGTCTGAGAAGGCCTGAGATGCCAGTCTTTAAAGCCATGACATATTTTAGGTATAGAAAAACATTGCAGTTCACTTTTGGAGGCATTTTAATTTCTCTCCCCCTCTGAGCGCTGAATAGTTGGACCCATGGTAATGAAGGCACATGGCTTTACAAGTGGAGAGTTACAAAAAGTTACAATAAAAAGTTTTTAAAAACCTCAAACATTCCTAAAACACTTATTGTAATATACGCAACAGATACAGAATACTTCATGGTTTTGTATCACAGAATGAAAGTTATTTCATCCTCCCAAATTTATAACAACATTTTTTAACCAAATCATAGTGTATTTTGCATATGCCATGTAAGTTACAGGAGAACTATTGTAGAAAAACTCACCACTTTCAAGTTAAGAAAACTACTCTTGAATCTACACTGCACAAGCAAAACAGCTCCTTTCTTATTCTAATCAGGGAGCAGAACATACACTTCCCAGATGAAGTACAAAAATGAAACAGGCATTCAGCACTGACAGGTCAAACACTTGCCCTCCCATAAAGCCTGTATTTTAATATTCTTACCCCTGACAGTTTTCCTCTATAACTGCCCTCCATAAAGCCATCAAACCCCTACTGATGTAATCCAGGACCTGGCAGATGTGGGCATACACATAATGTAAACATGACTGTCCTGCTGACTCTTTGTGCTCCCCTGGGAGCTGTATTCAGGGTAGTCAACAGTGAACGAAAAAGGTTAAGAATCCTGCAGATGCCACAGGTATGAAGGCATCTGGATAACGGACAGAAGGAAGGGGGAAGTATTCTTCAGCAGTAGCAAAGGAAAGGAAGTTTGCCCCACTGAGGAAATCTTTTTAGAAAGCCAACTATTACACAAACATTGTAACCTTTTACAATATATACTTATATTTTTTTTTTGCAGGAGTGTTTGGAACCAGATGACACCATCTATCAAAACAGATGATAAAATTCAAAGTACACACATACTCAAGATCCTTTATGTGAAATACAACTGAACATGTCTGAGACTTCAAAAATTAATTTTCTGAAAGAGTCGTACCTTGCTAAAAAAAATATGAATCCTCACTGAGCAGTGCTTTTTTTTTTAAAGTGTTTTGCAAATAGATCATCAAATACAAATGACAGTATTCCAGCTAAAGTGTGAATATTAATTATTACAGTCCTATGTTTAACATTACCAAGCCCTCTCCCTCTGAAAAATAAAAATATTGTAAAAGGACTTTATTTTCCATTAAGAACTACTAATACTTCATGGAAATTTTCATATTTAGGGTTAGTTCTACACATAATTTTTTTTTTAATTTCTTTTGTGAATTTAATGCTTCTGAAAGGTTTGTGATAGGCACAAAAAGAAAATGATGCCTTGAGGTCAAATTCTGCTCTCACATTGGTGTAAATCAGCTATAACTACCACTGATGTCAATAGTAACTCAGGATTTAGACCAGAGTAAGAGGAGAATCTGGCTGGCTGTACGCAGAACAGGTACAAAAAATAGGCAATATAAAAGCATACACACTAATGTAATGTCAAAACTGATCCAGAGGGACCGTATGGCAGGTTAGGAAGGTAGCTTAGTCTACATGTCAATCCAAGGACTGCTCTTCTTTCAATGTTTATATGTATATGTGTTATGCAGACAGTATCCCCAAGTGCTAGCCAGAAGCAGTGCCTCATTCCCCATTAGAATGACACCCAGTCTCTACAAGGACATGAAGGGCATTCTATGAACCCTCTCCTTCTTCCCTTTGTGCATCTGCACAGAACTGGATATAACTTAGACTGTTGGACTACAGTCACGCTTCACCAGTTCTCACTTAGCTAATCTGCACACCTCAAGAATCTTACAAGATACCTGCTGGTCTCACCCATCCTTTCAGCAAAGAGTTAATTGTGTCCCGTAGTGAGGCCTCATCTAACATTTTGCAACTTAAGAACACTGGAACTGCCAGACTGGAGCAAAGCAGAGATCTGTCTAGTCCAGTGTCGCCTACATAGGCAAGTACCAAATATTTCACAGGAAGGTTTTAAAATGCACAAAAATCCACATTACATAATGGACAAATATAGAGCAACATGTCTAATAAACTTTCTTCCTAATCCCAAGCAATTAATGGCTAGCTGCTTCTCTCTTCAAGCATGGTATCTTATACATTTTTATTCTAGTAACTAAAGTTATTCTTATTTGTATAAATATCAAATCCTTTTTTAAACCCTAAGCTTTTTGCCTCAATGATACACATAGGAGTGAGTTTCACAGATTAATTAGATAAGAAAGCATTTCTTTATAACACTCATTACAAAATACCTACTAGTGAAGTATAAATATTAAAGTACAAATGAACAGAGTATGTTTTGTAATGCACTATGATTAACTTATTAGTAAGATTTCTGCTTGTCAATTCATAAAATTTTGAACTCCACAATAACTTTGTGTTAGGGTGAATTAGTGAGGTTTTATGTACTTTGGAAAATAAAAACAAAGGTGTATTTCTCTCAAACTCTTTGGTAATAACTTGTGAATAAGCTACTTTGGACTCTAGATGTCATTGTAATTCCAGAAACATTTGAAAGAACAAAGTAATATTTCTTTTGTTTCTTATAGTTTTATAAGAACATTTGTTTCGGTCATTTAAAAAAATTAAGAACAAGGAAACAGAGGCTGTGTCAAGCATAGCAGAGTATAATTCTCATTAACAGTATAGTTAAATTATTCCATTTTCAGGCTCCAATCGTGCCATTGGATCCACACATAGGCTGACCCATTTGCTTACACATATGAGGTCTGAATCAGAGCTCATATCTGTAAAATAATAAAAGACTTTTCTAAAAGGGGTTTAAAACTCTTTAGTACAGTAATTGAAATACATGCTTTCTAGGATCTTCCACATGTTCCGAGTGTTTGTTCTTGTTTACAATGTACATATAGTGAATTCATTCTTTGCTCTTTTAACATATCTTGTAAAATAATAAAAAGCTTTGATATCTTAACTACAACATTTAGAACACTACTTGGTCTGACACAGAGCTTTTTGCATGACATACAATGTCATCTCAGTCTTGCACTGGAGAGTAGGTTAGACGGTTCAAAGGGGAGAGTTTTAGTGGAGTATCTTCTGCTGATATGGATTTAAAATTTTCTATAAAAAGTTGTGTATGGGTCCAGAGTTCTGGACAGCCAGATTTACAAAATGGAATGAAAAAATCTTTGGAATGTGGGGAACCACCACTACATATAGTGGTGACCCCAGTCTATCATAATGGCATCTCTCTTTAAACAGAATCATAGACATCTGAGTGAATCAAATGGTACAATAATGTTATATGAAATGAAGTTAATCACATCAATTAAGGAAGTCAGATTCTTATTTTGTGTTTGACATTTTAACTCAACTAAACATGTACAATGACATGATTCAAAATATTGACCTGGCCAGGATGGGACAGGGGATCGGATTGACATTTAAGTGATTATATAGTTTATGGTTACTTTGCCTCTTAAAATAGACAGTTAAAATTGAAATTTAAGTCTAATTCTATTTTAAGGACCAGCTTTACATTAAAGCCATTGTTCTTTGTCTACTCTGCAAAAGTCCTAAGAATCTAGTGGTCCTGTCTGGTGCTTGCCTGATTTGATTATCTGAAACCACATATATAAGAGATTCTTCTTTCATCTGGATTTAGTAAGAGGTTTGTGGTTATTTAATTGCTGAAAAGAAGGAAGGCATTTCTTGTTAGAAGTTTGTAACAACTTGGAACAGGTTTTGTCCTAGCAGTTTGCATAATCTGAAGGTACCAAATTCAACTTTTAGAACATAAAGGTCAAAATTAATCAAATGCAATGGCTGCTTCACTATTACCATCTCCATTCCCCCAAGCAAAAACAGTGCTCTTTACTTATTTGCTATTGGTCAATGTCTCATCAGAAATTGCTTTTAATACAATTAAAATATATTGAGAACCAGGCATGTTCAAAACTTAGAGACAGATAATTACTTCTTTAAAAATATCCAGATGTACATATACACCAATGGAGATATCCACTTTCAGATAGACAAAACTGGAATATCGAAGTGCTGCTGATAGCCAGTCTATAGCAGTGGGTAACAAACATGCTGGATGTGTTTCAAGATAAACAAAGGGTTCCCAAACTTGGATCGCGGCTTGTCCAGGGTAAACCCCTGGCGGGCCACAAGACACTTTGTTTACCTGAGCATCTGCAGGTACAGCCGCTCGCAGCTCCCAGTGGCCATGGTTTGCTGTTCCCGGCCAATGGGAGCTACAGGAAGTGGTGCGGGCCGGCCCACCGCTTCCTGCAGCTCCCATTGGCTGGGAACGGCGAACCACGGCCACTGGGAGCTGCGAGCGGCCGTACCTGCAGATGCTCAGGTAAACAAAGTGTCTCGCGGCCTGCCAGGGGCTTACCCTGAACAAGCTGTGAATCAAGTTTGGGAACTTGAGATAGACACTGCATAACTGGAGCAGCCTTCACTGATAAGGGCTTACCAAAGCTATCATGACACACCACCCTGCAGGTCACACAAGACCATCAGGGAAAGCATTGTGATCTGATCTGAGATTAGAGAAAAGCAGCAACAACAAAGCAAGGGAAATGGAGCTGTCTGAAACAAAATGTCTCGTTTGCCACTGATCACCAGCACAAGCAAAGCTTCTTTCTGGTTTACAAGATGCCATACAGAAGATTCTAACAAGAAATGTCTTGAAGTTCCATATGCAGAGAACATGTTTTCAAGTCCTAGTGGCTTATTAGTCCAATAGCCAATTCTCCTTCCACTAGATACTAGGGGATTGAACCATGAGAAAGTAAAAGTGGATTCCTCAGATTTCTCTCTCTGTTTCTCCACCATCTGTTTTGCTAGAAAGTTGCATTAATTTTTTTTCAATATTGTTGTTACCTAACATGATGCAGGACTCGGAAAGAAAAAGACAGGAAAGCAGGTCCTGGATGGATCAGTGATTGCAAAACAGAGAAATTAAACTTAAGTGTATAATTATAAGGTACACAAGAAACAAGATAATATACAATCACTGCATATCACAGACTTTGCTTATATTGTTTCAATGTAGAATATAAAAGACACTGTTACACAGGCAGAACTGTATTTTACTATTACCTTGAATCTTATAGAAAATTTAGGACAGGAAGAAAATCTTTTCCATATTAAACAGAATAAGAAATTGTATCCAGATATGTTTGAAACATTGTATACGTTCATTAAAAAAAAATCCAGATTGGGACTCCTAACAGGGGCTGGATTTTTAGAAGTGCTGAACACCCATCCTCTGAAAAATCAGCCCCAGAACTAAGGCACATAAAACCACTAGTAACTTTTAAAGATTTAGGCCATGATGCTCGTGATACTCATTGAGGGAAAAACCAGATATATTTGAAAAGTGCTCTCAGATTCTTCTCCAAAACTTAGACAAAGGGATAAAAGTTAATGATCAAACGTGAACTCCAAAAGAAATATACTGGATCATTTAATACAGAGTAAAACAAACATGATCAGGTATTTATATATATCAGTAATACTGTTTTAATTACTGCTCACTCCGATGAATTTCTTGATGCAACTGAAGTCACTGACACTGAAGTATAGCGCTGTAAATAGTTTGATCCTAGCTACCCAAGAGACATCTCACCCTATGCACTACTGCACAGCAAAGATCAGTTAAGGTACTCTTGTTCACAGTATCTAGATCTAGATATCTGGGATTGCTTGTACCATGAATTCAGTGGAGGTCCCTTGTCTGAAATTTGCTTCCCGCATTGCTCCAACAGAGCTCAAGTATGAGAGCCTTCAGGATATGGTATAGGACCCATACATTTGCTCAGTCTTTCACTGATGGTAGTGAAAGGAGTGGGGAGGGGCAGTGAACAGTTTCAGTCCAAGTGCGTCCATCTACTTACAGTATATGTTTTATGTACAATTCTAGGAATTTTGAACATGCAATTAAGAGATATTGATCAGCACATTTTAAGTCTGATAAATATAAAGTTATTTTAGACAGTATTAATTCACAACACTATAACCTAAAACACCTT